TATCTTTTAAAAAGTTAAAAAATTAAGCTTATTTATATAAATATTCCTATATACCAGAAATAAACTCAAATAGTACATATTAAATTAATATTATTTTAGTAATCAGTTAAATCTGAAAGTTCAGTTCTTAGGAATGATAAATGATAATACTATCATCCCTAAGGAACAATAATACCATCATTACTAAGAAACGATAAACAATCGTTTCTAAGGAATGATAAAACCATCGTTCCTTAGGTACAATAATACCATCGTTCCTTAAATACGATAAAACTATCATGCCTTAGGAACGATAAATGCATCGTACTTAAGGAATGATAAAATTATCATTTCTTAGATATGATAATACCATCGTTCCTAAGGAACGATAAATGTATCATACCTTAGAAATGATAACATTATTGTCCTTAAGGAACAATAAAACTATCTTTAAGGAATGATAAATGCATCATACCTTAGAAACGATAAAATAATCATTCTTTAAGAATGATAAAACTATTGTTTCTTAGATACGATAATACTATTGTCTTTAAGAACGATAATACCATTGTTCCTAAGGAACGATAATACCATCATCCCTAAGGAATGATAATACTATTATCCATAAGAAATGATAAATGTATTGTATCTTAGGAACGATAAAACTATCATTTCTTAGGTACGATAATACTATCGTTCTTTAGGTACAATTATACCTATTATACCTAAGAAACAATGCAACCGTTCTAATTAGATGTCAATCAGTTATAAATAAGATAGGTCAAATTTTGATATATACTAATCGGCTATAAGTATGCCAATCGGCTAGGCTGATTTTTGATAATTTGCCAATTTTAGACTGATTTTAGGCTGATTTAGGCTGATTTTAAGCTGATTTTTGCATGTCTGATTTTTTTGATTTTGACCAGTGTGTATTCTCATGAATTCTAATATCCTATTTTGCTCAATCCGATTTATATATTACCTTGAGATTTTTTATTATTACTAGCATAAGCACAAAACTCATATTTTTGAATATTTGTTAAGGTAACTTTTTAATAATTTGATTTTTTAGTTAAAAAGAAAAGGGAGAGAAAAGGTAAAGGGAAAAAGTAAAAGAAAATTGAAACGCAAAAAAATACATTAAAATATATTGATTACTGCTCTATTAGTTAATCAGTGCAAATAATTGAATTTTAATAAAAAATGAAGATATGTCTTGTAATATAAGACTTAACTATGCTTTAGAAAATATAGAAAAAAAAAGCATTTAATATAGACTAATTAGTGATAAGTATTTTTAGAATTCTAGAATTTTTTTTTTAAAAACTTAAATATTATTAAATAAAGTATCAATATCTTATTATTTTTCATTTTATAAGTTGCAGTTATATTAATATTGCTATAGTTAAGGTGGTTGCAATTATAGTATTATGTTTTAGGTATAATTCAATTTAATTTTGATTTAGGTTGTGATTTATATTGCTTGATATCATTGTGGTTAAAGTTATTACTACCATGATTGAAACAGTTGTGGTTTATTGTAACTTATATTAGTATTGTAACTTATATAAATCAACATATATTGAAAATAAAAAATGAAAACTGAAATGAAAGAATTTTTAAAAAAAAGGTAGGTTTTTTTTTATAGAACGCAAGATATTTATTTGTATCAATTTATAAACTTTATTAATTAGTACTAATTAAATCTGATCAGATTACTTTATCAATTGGTATTTATCAATTGGTACTAACTAAATCTGATCAGATTTCAATTACACAAAATCACATAATCATATAATCAAAGTTACGTGCATGTATTTAAGAAGTATATTGCTAATATAGATAGGATCAAAGATTTCTTGTATAATATAAATATAAAGGATGTGTATTAGCTTTAAGTTCCAGCTTGAGACCAGAATATAGTGTACATATAAAGAGGTTATGCATTTATAGGTGATGCACTTATAGAGAATTGACTGTAATAGTTTTATCATTTCTTAAATATGATAGTTTTATTATTTTTAAGAAATAATATTATTATTACTTCTAAGAAATAATAGTTTTATCATTCCTTAGGTATGATTTTTTATCATACCTAAGGAACTAAACTTTTTGATTAAATAGATTTAAAATTATATTAATTATATTGAATATTTGAAGTGCTTATTGAATTAAAAAGATGATTTTATTAATATTGATTTAATGTATTATTAATATATATAAGAATATTTATTTATATAAAAAAGCTTAATTTTAAAAAATAATTCAACTCAAACTTTATCTTTTACAAATCATTTTACAAATTTTCTTTTTTTATATATTATTAAAATACCAAAAAAATATATTTCAAGAATGAAAGAACTTAAGTTAAATTTTATCAATTAGCAGTTAACTTTTTAAAAAATAAACTGATTTTTTTACTTTTTACAATAGAAACATATCTAAATCTTGATTATTAAAATTATTTAACATTTGACTTCTTATAATAATATAAAACTTTTTACTTACAATATAATATGTATTTGAGTTTGAACTATTATTCTTTTGTTAATAATTTATTAAGTTTTGACTCTTACTTTATTTAAAAATTTGATTTTATTTTTATCAATTATATACACTTAAGGTATTTTTTAATATAAAATAAAAAATCTCTTTCCTTTTACAATATAGAAATTTGAAATTTTTTAATAGTTTTCAATTTATTAATTAAATTGAAAAGAATTAAATTAATTGTATTCAGATCAATATTTATAAATATAAAACGGATACAAATTGGGTATTATCTGTTTTTACCTATTTGTTATTCTATTGATTCAGATACTTATATTTATTTATATAGTATTAAATAAATGGTAACAAGTCACAGCTCTATGATCTATGCTTATATAGGAAGTGATACTGTAATATTAGAAATTCTTTATAGTATAAGATTATTTTAAGAAATTTGTATAATTTTTGTAGAATTTTATTAAAATTTAATATATATATTTTTTTAAAATAGTAAAATAAAAACAGATTATTTTTAAAGTGATTTTATTATTAATAATTTTGGATGCTTAATTCATTCATAAATATATTTTTTTATTAAATAAAAATGCAAAAGTATTTACAGTAGCCATATAAAATACTGATTTTTTTTTACTTTACAGCTTATAATCAATTACTATAAATGCTAAAAATATGTTCTTATATTTATTTTAAACCTTAAGTTCTTGAAAATTATCCTATAAAATTTTAATATCTGCTAATTTTGATATAATATAAGAATTTGAGCATTTTAGTTAGGTCAGCTATTATAAAATGATATCAGTTTCCAATTTTAAGTACGAAAATTCTAACAAGCTATAGTTCATTTAAATCATTTTTTTAAAAGAAAAGTCGCAGTTTACAATCACAAAATATCATTTTGCGATATATAATAACTTGCTTATTTTGGAAGTATATGGTATTTTCTGAATATGTTAGACATTTATTTTCCATAGGGCTGATGAGTAAATAAGTTTTTTTAAAAAGTCAAACGCAATATAATAAATTGTCTGTCACTTGCAAAAAAATTGTGTTTAATCTAAATATTATCAGATATTAATTTTATAAAGAAAATGTAAACGTATCAATTTTAATTCAATCACTTTATATTTAATTAAACATTTGACTAGTGAGTGTATATTTAAAAAAATAAACTCTCAAATAAAAAATCTGATATAATTTAAAATCTAAAATTGTTAATAATTCTTTTAACATAATTACGTCTAAATTCTTTAATCACACCATTATTCTTGTATTTATCAATTAATTTTCTTTTTGTATTCATAACTTGATGTAAAAATAGAAAGGTCCGATCGACCTTTCTAATTCTCTAAAAATATTAATTGAAAAGTTAAATTCATAAACTATTCTAATTATATCCAAGTTAATAGGTGCAGAATTAATTAATACATTTAATATATTTGCTCCTGATACCAATTTTCTTTCATCGGATATTATCTCTGCATCTAAATCATCAAAATTGTCATACGCCTCTAATATTAATACTTTTAACTTTTTGCAAGTCTTCAGTAAATGTTCAAGTTCAATGAAATACTCATCTGATGTTAGAAACACGAGTGACAGATATTCAACTAAAGGACAATTTTCACGAACAGTATTAATAAGTGTAAGAAATTCATCATAAAGGTCATAATCATAGATTTCAAATTCTCAGATAAAAATTTTCTTGAGACGTCTTCCACTGTTTCTAATCATACCACGTTAGCTGTAATATAATCTATTTGTAGAACTTCAAGATGTTGAAATCTCAAAGTATTCAAATAATGTTCAAGGTCATCAGTAATGATATTTGATTTTAATACCTTTAAATTATGAAGTTCCGGTAGTATCATCGATTATTAGCAAAATATCCAATTCCATTAAATCTACTTATAAAATAAATAAGGGTATCTGCCTTTTTCTTTAAGGCAAAAAAATTTCCATATGATTATCATCTAAAAGGCATTCATTCTCGTTTAAATTATCAACCCACTTAAAATATTTTAAATCTCTCTGAGCTTCAATTAACTTAACAAGTCCATTATTGCTTTCTGCATTTGTATTAACAATAATCAACCTTTGTATATATTTACAGATTCGTGCCATTCCATAAAAGTATACGGGTTTCATGGACATATCGCATTTTAATTCGCACAACGATTCGAGACGATTAGTTGCTTCTGGTAATAAAAATATCTGGTGTTGAATAGATCTCATATCCAAATACTTTAACATTGGGCATTTCCTAATAAGGAGACCGTAAATTTCTTGTTGAAAATGATATTGATCATTGGCCAAAGGAGAGTAGACTGAAGACATCTTGTTTACAACATTTGAATTGATACACTTGCAAAATGATAGATAATCAAATAAAGGTGGCCGGTATGATAATTGAGGTAATCTAATTTTACTAGTTCTAGATTCTTTACTATTGTCGGACAAAAACAAGGTAAAGATGTTGCATAAAGAAATTTTTTTATTGAAATTTCTATTTATTGAGCGCCAAGGATCCTTCCATAAGGTCGGAACCACAGCCTCACACCAAAGTTTATTGACTAATAGACATGAAAAGAGAGATTTTTTATCGTCTTGTAATTCTTCAAATATCAAGTAAAGAATATCTTTATTAAGTTTAGACTTTTTTTTTAAAAAAGAAAAAAAAAAAAAAAGACGGAAAAAATATACTGGTTTGTCCCGCAGTAATTGATACACAATTTTCAAAAAAGAAAACCTTATGCAAAAAGTAAATCGAAAACCCATATATATAGTAGTTATGTGTTCTCGTCACGTGATTTAAAGCATCTCGTGACATCCCACGTTTAAATCTGTGACAGGAAATTTGCATGATTATATATTGAAAGTTTATATATTTTAACGCAAATCGCTAGTGATATTTATAATGCTGAAAGGGTCCACAAAGATTTTCATCCGGGAAATTTATTTTATTCGATATTGGTGCTTGTACCGGAGATTTGGGAATGTGTCAACCTGCAAAGAAAAGCAAAGAAAAACTACAAAAGGAAGGGAGGGGTTTGGAGCATTACTACAAAAGCTTTACTTATTCAACCATATACCAAGCAGAAATTTATTCCGTTGAAATGGAGGCTAATGAATTATTTTCCAAAGAAATTCCATGATGATCATACTTTAGCTATCGAGATATGTAATGGAACTAGACCAAAATCTCGGAATATATGCCCAAATTCCTTGGTGATTTTATTTTAAAATGTACGAATACTGTAGTTGTTTCCTACTACGATAATGTAATGAGTTCATTTCTCAAATCAAAGAAATTGATGAAGAAATTCATAGTATCAAATTAAATAAAGAGTTGTACACTATATTATGAAAAAGCCAACCAATTTGTTTTTGCAAATAATCTGCGTAAGTAAAAGTTCATAAGACCTTTATAAGTTCTTACGTAGTTATCATTTATTAACATCATTCATTTTATAGCTGCAAAAGATTTTGATTAATAGGTTAGATGATTATAGTTTAAGTTGATTTTGAAGGGTTCATTGCGATTAACCTTTGAAAACTATTATTGTTTGCCTACAATTGATGATGTAACGTTAAAATAATATAAAAGGTTATTCTATATTGCGTGATTTAATCTATAAAGAATTTTGGAGATTATGAAATTTGGACTATATCCATAAAGTAAACTTCTTGTGATCTTCAACTTACAAAATAGAGTGCGCAGATTTTTATTAAAAAAAAAAAAAAAAAAAAAAAATAAATAAATCAATTATTACCCATAAAATAATCCGAAAAAAAATATTGTAAGCATCTATCAACTTCTTTAATATGCTACAACAATTGCGTTACTGTGATTTAGTAATTTATAATATTAAAAATTAAATATGTCGAGTTATTTGTTTTTACATACACTGTCCATATTATAACATCGACCAAAATTTATTGAAGTTCGTCGCAGTATCGAAACAAATGATAAGAATGGATATGAAGGAGACACAGAGGAAATTTTTTATGAAACCAAAACGTGCTGATATTTTTATTTTGAATTCCAACTATGAAATTATTTTACGTAGGGATATGACGGAATCATGTGATTTATTCCACTTTTCCCTGTGCGATGCGAAATTAGGTTTCTCATTTTTGGACGTAAATAAATCAATTCCTATCTTCATGATATTCCGTCATTTTGAGCATTGAAGCGTAAAGAAGTTGAAGATTTTCTGAATCCAGAAAATTGAATTCTTCCTTACCGATGATGAAGTCAATAAATTCAGTAATACGATTTCCTTACTTCATTTTAGATCAATATTTATTCTTCTTTTATTTGTCTTTTATTTTATGGATAATTATGATTACTATTTATTATCATTATTAAAAAAAGTATATAAATATTTTTTATATTTAAAAGGAGATATGAAGTTTTAAAGTGAATTTCTATTATAATTATTATAATAAGTATATTAGAAGTTAAAACATTTAATTAAACAATAGCTTGCGACAAATTCTTCAACATTTAACAATTGATGAGAATTGATGTATGTAATCGCACTAAAAGTATTCCCGTTTGAGTAATTTACAACCTTATTATTGACATCTGAATTGGCTAATATCACAATTGGAATTATGGTTTATATCCCAACCAGTACTATTATCATTTGAACATATATCGGAAGTATCTCGAAGTGTGTTAAGTTCTTTTAATTGGCTATCTACGGCGGTTATTATACATTTATTAGTATCATTTCCGACCATTGGGCAATAAATATGACCGGAATCACAAGATTGTCCGCAAAATGAAGGTTTTGTGTCACATATTTCAATATTGAAATTTCTTAAGGTACTGCTTAATATTGTTGCTGCCATAGTGTTATATGTACTTTGTTTAATAGTATGATATATGTCATCATCATTTTCAAGTAGATCAAAATCATTCGATATTTGATTAACAGTAAAACCAGCTAATACTGACTTGTTTCCAGTAAAAAAATTATTGTGTAATGTATCATCGAAATGATATAGGAGATTTTCACTCGCGGCTGATAAATATGATGAAATATCTGAATAGCTTTGCCCACCTCCGGCAAATGATTGATGAACGCTGTCCATTAAACTTGGAAGAAAGAATTCATTCACCTGGTAAGTCGTAAAAGATCCATAATTACCCTCCGGCGCCGTATCCCTCTTTTCTAATTTGTGATACTTTCTCAAATTTGCAAATAGTTTATCAAGGTCCGGGTTTTCTGTTTCTTTATAGCGTGAAGCTGTTTTCAGTAATGCATTAGCTGCGCAATCAGGTTTCGAGCAACCAGCTCTATCGCTAAGTTCTTGGAATGGCCTTAATCTGGTAGTATCTGAAATCACTTCATTTGTAAAATCTTCCGCTGCAGTCCTGGCTGCCGATCCTTCAACTGCTGCTGCTGCAACATCTTCTGCAGCAGCAACGTCGATAGCGAGGTAGGAAGTGGTTGACATGCACTCAGTTAACCATGTTACGGCGAGGCCATATAAATATGGTCCAACCGTAGCAATAGCAAAACCAACAAGGAACGTGATTGCAATAGGTAAAATCTCTTTGAGCAAGTTACGATGAGGCGGTGGCGGCGGTGGTGGTTTCAATTCTTGTAGATTCTCGGGAGTCATTTTAATACTTAGTTCACCAAGGGCTTCATGGAACCCTCGATGGTGTCTCTCCCAATAATTGAATAGCTTGTTTGCCGAATTAATCATGTGATATGTAGCAACACCATAACCATCAGGATTGAACGAGCTGCCTGTACCGTATTCAAGAGATGCAGCGTATGTTCCAATTTCATTACCAGTCAAATAATCGATGCATTCAGCTATATGTTCTGTTTGATTAATAGACCAATTGGGTGCATCTGGGTGTTTACCTTCACTGCAATACTTTGCAGTTAGATCAGTTGGAAATACATGGTCTGGGTCAGGTGTTTGCTGCTTATATGTAATTTTAGGGGTTGGAATAAGTTTCATCGTGTAATTACTTAATTTGCATTTGTAATTATTTTGGTTTTTTTCGGTATACGACGAAACCGAAAGATCATCTCTGTTTAATTTCACCATAAATTCGAAGCTACAATCATTTTTGCATCCCCACATTGTGACGTTTAAAGTTGTTAATGGTAGCTTATGACTTATAATTTGGACGTCCCTGATCAAAAGGGACGTCGAATGAGCAATGCCATCATCGTCTATATGGAACGCCGCATAATTAGAAGGTATGTCTTCGCCGCACATATTAAAATCATGTTCTACGGTGATCCAATCAGCAACAACTGCCGATGAAAAATGTATAAGGATATATAATAAAGCTTTCTTCATAGTGAAATGTCTTTTTTTTTCCCTTTGTCGAAAAATCTGGTAGACCTTATATACTGTATATTATTAACCTTGGCCTTAAACCGTTTCGGTATTCTGATTCTTTTTATTTATTTCTTTTTAATTGTATCAGGTAATTTTTGTCGATCTCGGAACAGTCGATCTCTCGATATCAGAATTTTTTTTTTTTATATCTCGTTCAATATATTCAAATTCATTGTTAAAAAAAAATTGAATATAAAAATATGCAAAGTAAAACATTCATTACATTTTCGAACATTAACGTGTCTGATTTTAACCTATACTGATGATCATTGTGTGTCCAGAGTTTAAAGAGAAGATTAAGAAATATTTTTCAAAATTGAAAAATATTTCTAAACACTGTACACATCTAGATCGACGCACATTTTATTGGTAAAATTTAATCATTAAAAATGTGGATTCACAAAAATAAAAATTCGTAAAATAGTATCACGTAAATGATCGACATTATAAATATTTTTTTTCCTTTTTAAAAATTATAATGTCCGACAGTAAC